TCTTTATGACGCATTGTTCAATACCTTTTTAGAATTTTAACAATAACACTTTATGACTTTTGAAATATATACAAACAATGCTTTTTCTCGACATACTATCAACTTGTTTACATTCTATAATGTGCCGTTTTTTATATTTTTTTGATATACAATACTATGACTTTTCTCAAATGTTTTGACATATATGATTTACTTAACATTCTATAATGTAATTTCTCACATTTTTTCAGACATTATACGATGCAATTTTTCTGACTTAAAAGAATACTATACTATGTTTCTAAAATGTTGACATAAAATGTTTTTTTTTATACATGTCAAAAAAATGCAAAAGAACAACATAGTATACTATGTTGAAAATATGAGAAAAAAGGACAGAAATCGAAAATATAAAAACCGACATGTCAAATACTAGAAAAAACAATATAGTAAAGTATGTCTATGTACTGTAGTACAAACTATGCAAAAAACGAATTTTGCATACTTTCAACATACTATACTATGCCAAAACGATGGAAAATTCAACATGGTGTGTCGAAAAAAATAAATAAACGGTATATAGTATAGTTTATAAAAAATATGCAACCTTCGGCATAGTACGTCGAAAATATGCAAATAAAAAAAACTAAAAACAACATAGTACAATATGGGATATTGGGATTTGTTTACAATATCAAATGATTCTTTAACAATACCCTTTGTAACATAGGTACACTGAATATCCGTGCAGACATTTTTGTAGATGTTGAGCCAGTTCCTTTTTATCCTGCAAAAAGCTATTCAAATATTTTTCCATCAGCTTGAAATAAACTTTGTACCACATTATTAGAACAAGACGTGGGTGTTTCTCTTTTTACGGGAAGAATTAAGGTATTTTATTGATCTCTGTGGCAGGTGCTCAACTCTTAAGCCCTTGGAGTGCCTTGGACACACACACACACACACACACACACACACACACACACACACACACACACACACACACACACACACACACACACACACACACACTGTAAAGAATTTGCTCTGGAGTCTGCCCGGGCTACATGTGCAGTCCAACAGACGCTGGGCAGCAGGATTGCATGTCATCGTCTGTCTAGACCTGAAGGACTCAGCCCAGAAATAGCTCTTAAGAGCCCAGAAGAAAAACAAACGGTTCTCGTGGCTCTTGGTTTATTTAACACTTTTCATTTAACATATTTTTGGGTTGGAATTTAATGTAACATGACATTCTTACAGAGAGCACAGAGTTCAATAGTCAACTAGTTGGCTATAATATTCCAGCATCCTTCCTGGGTCTTAGGAAATAACTTCAGAGCAGAAGGAATGTACATTTTGGGGGGAAATAGGTTCTGATATTGATCTTACAGTCAGTAAATCTGGTATTACAAAAGAGATGTGGTCTCTCTGAACCCTTTGTATACAACCTTATGCAAGTCAACTTAGTTACATTCTTCACATGCTGTTTCTAGGCAATTAGCTATCAACTGTATTCATCTCTCACAAAACAGCCGTGCAAAAACTATCCAGTAACTTAAGGAGAAAAAAAGGCACTACACTTAAATGTGTGCTAGCTATCTGTTCTGTGTGTATGCTAGCAGAATATATCAGCTGTTCATACACAGCACAGGATCTGTAATCCAGAAACAATGTAGCTTTGACCAAACCGTACTACACTGCTACAGCAGCATATGCTCATGGCCATGGACTTCTTAAAATAAAGACTGTTCATTCTGCAAAACACGTTAACACTGAACAGAGGAATGCATTTGTTTAGGTAAACAAATATGAAAAATGTTTCAACAGATTATGGAGTCTTCAACTTTGAATGAAAACAATTTGATGGAGAATAAAGGATAAATAGATATTTTCGTCAACAAAAATATCCCATCCTTCCTTTTGAACTGGACAATGTACTCCTTGCACAAAGCCAGCCCCATAAAGAAATGTTTTTCGAGTTTGATATCGAGGAACATGACTAGTCTGCACAGAGCTCTGACCTTGACCCGATTTAGAACCTTTAAGATGAACTGCAACACTGACTGTGAGACAGACCTGCTCACCCAACATCAATGATGCAATCCCTGCAGCAGGTGTACAGGACTGTCTCAGAAAATTAGAATATTGTGATAAAGTTCTTTATTTTCTGTAATGCAATTAAAAAAACAAAAATGTCATACATTCTGGATTCATTACAAATCAACTGAAATATTGCAAGCCTTTTATTATTTTAATATTGCTGATTATGGCATACAGCTTAAGAAAACTCAAAAATCCTATCTCAAAAAATTAGAATAGTTCCTCAGACCAAGTAAAAAAAAAAAGATTTATAACAGCAAAACACAATCAAACATTTGAAAATGTCCATTAATGCACTCAGTACTTGGTTGGGAATCCTTTTGCACGGATTACTGCATCAATGCGGCGTGGCATGGAGGCAATCAGCCTGTGGCATTGCTGAGGTGTTATGGATGCCCAGGATGCTTCAATAGCGGCCTTTAGCTCATTAGCATTGTTGGGTCTGGTGTCTTTCAGCTTCTTCTTCACAATACCCCACATATTCTCTATGGGGTTCAGGTCAGGGGAATTTGCAGGCCAATCGAGGACAGTAATGCCATGGTCAGTACACCAGTTACTGGTGGTTTTGGCACTGTGGGCAGGTGCCAGATCATGCTGGAAAATGAATTCCTCATCTCCATAGAGCTTTTCAG